CAAGATTGGTCAAATCTACCGAACCCATACAGAGATTCGTTAGAGAAAATAACAGATAAAATATAAAGTTTTTTCTTAAGAAATGTTTTATAACTATCTTGACATTATAAAGATTTCACATGTGAAATTTCAAAATTTTCTGATTCATAAAAGTATTTTTAATCTTAAAATGAATATTACTTTACATGATAGATAGGCAACATGTGAAAAGAAAAAAAAGACATGAGAAAAACAATGCTTTATAAACCTTAAAACTTAATAAAAAATTGATATTTTGCATGTGAAAGCATTGTAATGTTTACTAATAATCTGCTAAATTTCGTTAACATTCGCTTACTAATTTAAAAGTTTTGGCATGAAACTATAAGAAGTACAAAAAGGTAACGAGGTTGGTCCCAGAGACCAAGCCTATGCTGAAATAGTTAAAAGAATTTCTCCTGTATTGGGAGATTTTGTTTATACAGTTTATTACAGCTGAGACTTGCACTGGCTATTTCGCTTCTGCTTTATATTTTTACCACTTATGCATAATTTAATCTTTCCTTCTCTTACGAGATTCTGTATTTTGCATGTTACTTAAACCTGTGTTTGTCCTAGACATAACTTCCATCCTCTGCATAGGTGTTCTATGAGAGTGTGATGCCCTCTAGAAGATGACAGATGATGCCCTGTGGTGGCCAATGAAGCCTCAGGAAGTACCTTTTCCTATCTGTGCATGTGCACATCCTTGCATGGCATTAGAAATATCTGAGGCAGGTACCCATTCTCAACAGATGTCTCAAAGCTCCAACCAGGAGGAAGAACATCTACATTTTCATTTTATTATTATTTCTTTGTTCCCATTGCACTATCCTCAAGTTGTTGAGTCTTATCCTTGACATAGCTTGAATTTTCTTTGGCTCCACTTATGTTTTTCTTGATTCCAATTCTTTGAATTCTTCTGGTGCTGATTACTTGACCATATCTTTGATGTGGTCTAGATTATTACCTTGCTGCCTTTCAACCTATATTTTATGTTTAATCCTAACTTAATCCAGTTCCAACCTCTTTAGGTGTTCTGACTTTCAGTAATTAATGTACTTCTGAAACACTTTCCCTCCCACACCCAGATAATATGTGGTTTTTCATCATGACTGCAACTCAGAAGTCTAAATTTTGATGGGAAAGCAGAGCTTATGTAAAATTCCCTAAAGCATGTATAAAGAGACATGTGCAAGATGGAAAAGTAGAAAATTATAGGTAAGTTAACAACCAGAACTCTGACTTACATGGATGTTGACAGCATGAGAGCAACTGAAAAAGGAAAGGCTTTCACTATTTCATAGGTAATTACCCACTTCAAATTTTAGTCGTAGAAATGTGAAAATCTAGTATTTACAACTCTCAAAACATAACTCTATTTCTTCTTGAAGTTATTATCAAACACAAAGATTTCTATCACAATTACATGTACTTAGTTTATCAAATGCATGTTCTGAATTTTAAGTATTTACATCTAAAAAGTCCAGTTTACTTAAGTCTATAACAAAAATTACACATCCCTTAACTAGTTAAAGCTCTTTAGCAATCTGCATAGCACATTTCCTGGAGCACAATAATGAGCAATATCTGATATACACATAGGACAAATGATGAGTTTTTAAAATATTAGGTCATCAAGAAATTAATGTCACATTTTGGAACACTTTCATTAACCACCCCCCAAAAAACGTACATCACTTATATTAGTTAAACGAACCACCTAAACATTACGTTAGTGTAGCCTATATAATGTGTAAAGTTTAGTATACTCTAATCCCTTATAGTGATGGCACACAACGAGATATGCATTTGGCATGTAATGCTGTTTGAATACAAAAAGGGAAACAAGGCCTCTGTAGCCACAAAGAATATCAAAGAAGTTTATGGAAATATTTTGATCTTTCATAAGAGTTAATGGTGGTTCAGCAAATTTTGTTCAGCTGACTTTAGCCTTAAAAACTGTGATCACAGGAGCCGACATGTTGTAATTGATATTTATGCTCAGCAACACACTCGTGAAATGGCCCTAAAATTGCACTTCTCTCATGAAACAAATACATAAACATCTAAGGAATATAGGAAAACTCCTTAAAGAAAGTGCTTGGGTGCCTCACAAACTCTCCGATGATCATTGTTTCCAACGTGTAAACGTTGCTTCATCTCTTCTGGCACGTAATGCACATGAATCATTTTTAGACAGAATTGTCACCAGTGATGAAAAATGTATTCTCTATTTGAATATTAAACAACAAAAACAATGGCTCAGTCCTAGACAAAAAAACACTTCTGGCCCCAAAACCTGGACTCCATCCGCAGAAAGTGATGCTTTGCATTTGGTGGGACATCAAACGAGTAATTCATTTCAAACTCCTCAATCCACAGCGAACTGTCAATGCAGATATCTATAGTCAGCAACTGGTATATTTAAATCAAGCCCTGCATCAGAAACACCCTTCACTCGTCAATCAGAAAGGTGTTCTTCTTCTCCATGACAATGCACATCCATATGTAGTACGTTTGACGCAACACAAGATTATGGAGTTTGGTTGGGAAGTTCTCCCCCACCCACCATATTCTCCAGATAGGCACCATCAGATTACCATCTTTTTCATTCTCTGCAACATCATCTTAATGGGAAAATGTATGCAAGTATGGAAGGTATTAAAGAGGACATCGGCATGTTTTTTTGTTTCAAATCCAAGTGATTTCTTTAATCAGGACATCAACAACCTGATTGTAAGATGGAAAAGTATCATCAATAAAAATAGCGATATTTCATTTAATAAATGTTTTGTTTTGATATACAAGTTGTTCGGGTTTTTTTCATCTAAAAAAATGCAACATTAATTTCTTGACGACCTAATAGCAAACAAAACACACACACACAAAAGTAGAGGTTAAACTCTTTGAAAATTTATGCTTCATGTAGTTCCAAAACAAACTAATTTCCAACTATTACAAGAGATTAAAAGAGAGAAATTAGTATATAATACAAATTGTTGCCTTTCTCCACTCTTTATCTAGAATAATAATTCATACTTACTGAATACTCTCATTCTTTACAAGTTGTGTAAACAAACTTTCAAACACACTAGCTGCTGCAGCTAAACCATGAGTGAAATACTGAAAGAAAGCAAAGCAAGATGCAATATCCACTACTTGTTTCCAGGGTTGTTCAAAAGATAATATACTTGAAAAATTTGATTGAGTATCCTGTATTAGACAAACATGCTGGAGAACTTCTTCAAGAATAGTTTTGAATGCATTCTGTGCTTTTAAGATTCGAACTGGAGTTACTACTTCAAAAGTTTTCTCAGAGAAAGCAGAATACTTTGTGCTGCCTCCTAAACATAGCAAAACCCACAAAATTTTCTTCTTTAAGGCTTCATCACTTTCATCTCTTATGTAAGATTTTCTAGAATATAGAATGTTATTTAAACCAAGTTCCAGTTCAATATAGGTTCTTGTTAAAGACCACAGTGTTCTCTGCTGACTGCTAATCTCTCCATTCAAACTAGCTTCAAAACTTGTTTCGAATATCTTTTCTGCTTCTTTACGATTATTACAAGCCCATTCTAGCTTACCATACCATTCCCATAATGTCAAGTTGTTCCTATTTACTTCCTTTTTAAGAAAATTTTTGGCCTTTTTTCTTGCTAATTTACACTTCTGTTTATAAATTTTAGAGTCAACTTGTTTTGATATGTAGAAAAGAGAATCAATAGTGTATTGAAACCAAGAAATTAGCAGTTCTATCTGTAAATCATGACTAAAAATTTGTAAAGACTGTTCAAATATTCTAGTTATAAAAGTTTCAAACTGGTCAGTGTTATGAACAAGAAACTGTTTGAATGGCTGAAATGTTTGTTTGTTGCAAAGAAATATAAATGAGGAATGGAATGAATACTGTTGTTCAATTGGAGTGTTGTGCACCAAGGTAGGACACAGACAAAGACTCCGACTACATGCTATATGGGAATGATTGTGAGTGCGTACTCCAAGAAACTGCAAGAACAACAAAACAAGATAAAATTTGGTGCTTTCAGACTTCAATCTAAATAAGACATTACTGACATCGTCAACAAGTACCATCCTTTCTGGATCTTCACAAGTTTCATCATTATTGGCTGAGCCTGATCCAGGACGCCAGGGTAACCAATAATGCCCTTCACGTAGATTTTCAAAGTGAAGCCATGTCTCACTCTTAGACAGACATCTATTTAATATTTCATCTTCATTCTTGTTTAGATCTGAAAAGCAACCAATGAATAATTTCCTTTTTTTCAAAACTTGTCATAAAAAAAACTTGCTTCATCTTATTATTCTCAAACCCAAAAAAAAAAAAAAATTAACACAATTAAGTATAAACTAAACACATCTATTAAAGTACATAATTAGTAAACAAAATGTTGAAAAACAATGGTTAAGACCTCTTAAATTCTGTCACATGACATCTATCAAACCATTTTGATAAAATTACTCTATCAAATAACACTATGAATAGTTCACCTATCATTATTTGTAGACATATTACTAATTATGAAATGCCAACTACATATGTATACTGCGAAAGAAAGATATACAAGTTTGCAGCAAATTTAAGTTATTTACCTAAAATCAACTGGAAAAAATACTTATTTTGGTAAAACAAAATGGGCAGAAATAAAAGTATACAGATGAAAAGAAATGCAGGATTTTGTTGTTTTTATAACAGAAACTTTTAAAGATTTTCTGTACTGTTTAAATGTTCCAAATTTGAATATGTTGTTAAACATATCAAAACTGAAGATAACAAAAAACTCTTATGCTTGCATGAATAATGCACATTGTATATTAGATAAAGTTAAAAAAACACAAGTTATTTCTGTGAATAATACATATTTTATGTTGGATGTTACTTTAAAAAAATTAGCTTGTATGAAAATCCCCAATGTGTCAGGTGTCACTTCAAAAATAGTTTTGTTCAACTTATTTTCATTAGTTTACTTTACTTTTTAAATATAAATTGTTTAAAAAAAAGGAAGAATAAAAATTTTGTCCCTAACCATGGACCAGATTTCAATATACATGTTATTAAGCAAAAAGCTACATGATGGTTATCTGTACTGTTCCCATCATGGGTATCAAAACCTGATTCTTAGTGATATAAGCTTTGGGACTTACAGCTGAGCCACTGGAGACATAAGATATTTGCATTTCTAAAGTATTGTACCTGCATTTGTTTGGTCTTCATTACTTTCAATGTACTTTTTAAATGACTTCTAAATTACCTTTTGATTAAAACAGAATTTTAAAGCATGAAGGTCTTAAAAAATTCACTTTTTTGGCTCATAAGAATAAAAGTTTCCTTTTTTTATGTGTAGACATGAAGTTTGTAATAACATATCATATGTTAAAGCATTACAAAACTTATATTAAAAAAACCATCGGAAAATACAAACCAGGATTATACGCAAAGTTTGAACCAATATTTTTCTCTGTAATTACTGTTGCCCAACCCAAAGCACCTTCTTCACCAAATCTTGGACTTCCACTGTCCCAGAAAGGTTCAAATAGCACTATCCAGTCTGATAAAGATGCTTTCAACGTCAGAGATTTGGGAGTATACATATTGAATTCAACTAAAGCTTGAAACGACGCCACCGCTCTTTCTGTCTGTCCACATTGGTGAAGAAAAGAACAGAAGTGGTAGAATATATCTAAAATAAATTTAATAAATCCTGTATCAATATTACCAATACATTATTTTTTAAAGCTTATCTACAAGAACTGCTTAAAAATATAAAAGTATGAAAAGAACAAATAAATGTCAGAGAAGATACAACTTTTTTTAAGAATTATTGTGAGTCCTAAATAATACTGCCAAGGCCAATATACAATGTTTAATAGCATTTTGTTAGTTGTAATTTGGCTAGAAGTCCAATTAAAAGCTTAAGTGTAATGACAAAACACTGGCCTTCATATTCTAAGCCAGTTCTAACTCAATATGGTCAAGGCTTTCAAGTTTTGTAATTTTCTTTCATGTTAACGTTGCATTAATATATTAAAATGGCTTTCTATTGGAACTACATTACAATCTTCCATACAGTGTGAAGCAATACCAGAAAGGTAACTGACTTGCAAGTTACAGTGTTCAGTCATACAATTGAAATCTCCTCATGATGGACAATACATATCCCAGGTAACATATCAGGCCCTTAAATTCATGAACCAACCTAGATTTCTGCAGTCCATTAATGCAATCATGTTCACTTTCAAGCCTGAGCTACAATACAATCTAATTATATCTATGGATACAATAACTTCAGTACTTTGTAGAGATATCTTAGCACTCTACATGATAAGATACCTTCACATGTAAAATTATTGTAAAAGGTTTGAGGGTATCATATATTCTAACAAGAATATATTTTACTTTCAATATTCCAAGTTCTCTATTATTTCAATAAAAGTTACAGAGTAACAGTTTATAGTTAAACACTTTTTAATGATACTTAATATCTCCCTATAACTTTGGGTGAGATTTTATAGGATCTACTCAGTGATGTTTTAACAAAATGTTTTCTTAAACCAAATAGTACAAATCTCTCAACATGTGATTATAACCCTGTAAAAGTCAGCTTACAAAACACTTTTGTATTAAGTTGGCTATTATTGTTTAAAACCTTATGTTGTTAATCTGATCATAAAAAGTATGTTAGCATGTTCACTAGTTAAATACTTCAAAAATCTGTTGAAACCGGTTCATATCCTTGAAAACTGTAATCTACATATCTCCTGTAGTATAAGTTTCATATGATCCTGACATTTCTGTTAAACACTTTTTAGTTAGTCCATCTACATTATCTAGATCTTTAAATACCAATTAACAACAAATATCTATAGATTTATCCAATGGTATTAGTAAACAACAATTCAATGATAATTCACAATAAATTTCTGGGAAATTTAACTCTGACCTCTTCACACACTATTACCAGAAGTATACTTGTACAAAATAACACTCTTATTATAGATATTGACTAATTTTACTATAAAAATAATACTGCCATAAAACAACTCTTTAATAAAATCATATGGAACCTGGGAAATCATCACATGTTGACACAAAGCTCCACCTAATATCAGGGGCAATGTAAGATATATCTGGAGAAAAAGAAATCTCTTTAAACTCACGATCAATTGCTAACATAGAACACAAGAGATGGAAAACCCAAGTCTTAACATAAAGAGGAACATTAAGGGAGGATAAAAGATAAAGTAATTCATCACTGAAAGTTAACATTTTACCTTCCTGAAAATGAATTTCAGATAAATACTCATCTCTACAAAGAACAATTAGCCAGCACCTTAGCACTACTGCCAAAAAATTTTAGTGCATTCACTAAGCCATTGAAAGAGCTCGCCTCTGCATATAATAACGTATACTGAGCTAATCTTTGCTGTAAGGAGAGGAAATCTACTGTAAGTTTTAAATAAAAGTTCAATAATTTACCTGATGATGACCACGAGTGGCTGAAATATTGCTAGAAAGTTAAAAAATAATAATAATCCACTCAAAAAGCTGTGTCTTTGGACTTTTATATGAACTAGTCTTTGATGAAATCAACATTAGACTATATTTCTTTACCAATGAGAAGGTGAAAAAAACCTTGTTGTGCAGTATTCCCATAGAGTTATTTGCAAAAACGAGGCAGATAGACACATCAGAAATGAGAAGGTAGGGTGGGCAATCTTGTGGAGAGTTATCTACCTGAAATTACAGTTTCAGGAATGGAAAATGTTAACTTCAGTCTATGGTACTCACCTCTCCACAAACCATTTGTTATAATCTCATACTGAAAAGGTAATGGAAGCATGGTGAAAAGAAATAAATACAAAAAATGAGCTCATTTCTTGAGATTACAGTGACAGAAAGGAAAAACTCATAGAGTGTGTCTCCTACTGAGAGGGGAGGGTGGAACAGCACTCAATGAGAAAAAGCATCATTTCTAACAGGGAATGTTCCTTGGCCAATATCAGTGGCTGCACAGGAAAGTTCTTTCAAAAGAAATTTCTGCTATTTGCCGAAGTGTTGTCGCAAAGGTAGGCAGAATGTGGAGGCTGTTTAACTGACCTATATATTTCAGGGGGTTGACAAACCAAAGAGTGATGAGTAGATATGGCAATATGTCAAGCCATACAGTAGGTAAAAAATACTTACAAGAAGATGAAGGTTCAGGAATGAATCATCCAACATTTATGTCCTGAGGGGAACTCAAGACCCATCCAGTTACTCACGCTGCTGGTCCAGTTTCAGTGTGGGGATCACTTGTACCACTCTTCCAGGTTGACACTACTGCTCTACTTCCAACTAAAGTGTGCATAAACGTCTCATACCAGTGGGATTACAATAACCCAAAGGGAAAGTCTCCATTTTGACTTACTCCTTCCCTAACCAGCTTGGTACGGGTGATGCAGGAATTGTTCAGTTTGACTAAAAGAGAAAATAGGCAGAGAAAAATTCACATAGAGAAGAACACCAGAGAGATCCACAGACAGAAAAGAATCTCATCTGCAAAAGGTACCTCAATGAAAAACAGTGTAATGGATTACTACAACTAGCAACAGCAGGAGCCATCTTGTTGAGTGGTGGAATAGCCACTCTTTTTCTTTCCCTATTTTCTTATAGATTGGAGTGTAATAAAAAAATATATTATATACTACCAAAGATATGATACCCTATAACCCAGGCCCTTTCCAAAACACTCAAGTTATAGGGGTATCATATTTTTTGTGTTAAATTTATTTCTTGAACCTATATGTTTTTTAACATCAAGAATATACTGCTAAAGATGTATTGCGGAAAACCCAATCTCAAAAGTGAGAACTAAGTAGGGGCAGATAGGCTTAACAGTTTCTGTTAATCCCTACTCAATGCCAAGTTTAGGATACAGAAGTATTCCATGTGAAGCAACACCAGCCATTTGATGGGTTCTTCTGTACTTTTTTTTTTTGTCTAAGATTTAAAAGTCAAAGCTGTAATAACAAAAAATTATTAATAAGCCATCTCTACAGAACCTCTAGGACGACTGTAGAATGACAACTGGGGGGAAAACAAAACTTAGAGACTGTAGTAACCATGATGTGATGTAAGTAATGTGAAACATAAGTGTCTTGGATGATCCATTCCCTCACCTGCAGGATTTCATCCAAAAGCAGGAGAAGCCATGAGATGATGAACTTGCTGGGAGGTGAAATAAAAAAAGACAAAGTGTTATCTCTAATGGAGGAACAGACAAGCTGGATGAGTTGCTTAACCCATATGGTCAAGGTAGAAAGAGATAAGTCTCAAGAAGGAGAGGGATCCCACAGCAGGAAAGGATGATTTTGACTGCCATTAAAGGGAGCTGTGTGATCAAAGTAATAGTGTAATGCCTGCACAAGACAAAAGAGATGACCTGGGTCTGAACAATTGTATAAAGGAGAAACTGATGGGAGGATGGTCAGAAAAACCATTTAATCACCATCCTGGGCAGTTCAAGTCTTGGGAAAGAAGGAGCAATGTGGAAATCAACCTTTCCCCATGGAAAAGAATGGGGAGATGTTCAAAGCAAAAGTATCAAAGTGACTTTTCCAACAAGCCAAATGGAGAAGAAAATACATCTTAAGGACAAGATAACAGAATACAGGTGGTTAAAGGTTCAAATGGATGGAATCTACAGGTGCTTAAAGTATAAGAGCTGAGTTTCCACAGGACCAGAACTGAGGGTCAGCTCTAGAAGAGTTATCTCTAATCACCTCAATGGCAGGGCTTTTGGGAGGGGACTATGGGAAGGAGCTACAGGATAAAGAACAGGATAGAGAAGAACGAACCAGGCTCACCAAAATGAGAAACCTGCTGGGTACCTCTTGACCTAGATAAGCAGAAAAATATAGTGAGCAGGGATGATTTAACTCAAGCTTCCAGTTTTTTAAATATGAGGAACTCACCCACGTAAAAGCTTCTTCTTGAAGGAAGGGTGCCTAACAGAGTTCCCTGAGATAAAACTGAGGAAGTTGAACTCCAGAAAACAATGTATCCCAACCAAGTAAATTTCAGAAACAAAGATACCAAGTTAACTGGGCAACTGCTGAAGAAGAAATTGAGGACAGAATGGAGGAAAAAATAGATGCAACATTCCCCAGTAAATCTCCTGGGGTCCCAAAGCAGAGATTCAGAAGGAAGGTGTACAAAGGGTAGATAACAAAGAAGTTGAGCAAGTTAAAGATGAAGATGAGCAGACTGAGAGTGTGAGAGAGAGAAAGTATGAGAAGAAGATCTCCAAGTTGGAAGAAGAGATTCAAGGAATTGGAGTTCTAGGAAAGATCCCAACCATAGGCCATAGAACAGGACTGTAAAGTTACACCATAATGTCACAGACAACAATTTATTTTTCACCCCCTCATAAATATCAACACATCAACTGACTTGTTTGATAAAAAGATAATATATTAATGGTTATCGAGTCTAGTTACACTGATGTCAGCTCTAGTTGCAGGTACTTGAGTATCTACAAACTAAATCTAAAAAAAATTACAAGGCTTCTTAGCATTATAACCTTTGGATGCTCAAACTTGTTAATCTTGGGAAAAATTTTATTCCTTTTATCACTTCACACTTTTTGATTGGTTAATTTTACTACAGAAATATACACATGTACAAACACGTGTGTGTACGTATCAAACTTAAAACAATCTTAGCCTTTACTTTTTATTAAATATAAAAGAACAAATAATACTATACCAAGCATATTTTCTTCCAAGTCTTCTGGTGCAGTATGAGATACAAAAATGCCTTCTAAGATTTTATTTAGTGTCATTAAACAATGACTATAGACCTTGACAGTTTTGGACACAGTGAAATAACTTAGTTGTGTCTGCACAAAAGTAATGTATCTTTGACACAGATATGAGCTATTAGGATTATGAAATATCAATTGTTTCCATTCTTGTAAAAGTTTTTCTATTTCCCAAATATTTTGTCCTAGTTCTAACCTCGACACAGCAAGACGAATAGAGCAAGGGTTACTTTTTAAGGCACTCTCCAATATTGCAAGTTTTTTCTCAGTTACCATAAGGTTTTGATTTTTTCTTTTGCTTTTCTCAAGTTCTGTACTGCTTAGCGTATGGTTTTCAAACATAGCAGCAGCAGCAATGTCCTGAAAATCAATAAAGTCCAACCACTTTTGCTCATCCCCTGGATGTTCTGTTAAGTACTTATTGAACTCTTCAGTCTTTTGATATAACCACTGCTTCTCTGTGGGCTTCAAGGAAGAACTACTACCGACTTCTGATTCTTTACCTTTCCCTTGAAGATATAATACTGTACTTGAATCATACACACCAAGAGGATTAAAACAGTTATATTCTTTAGAATTGATTGAGTTTAACTTGGAAAATCCTTGTTCATTAACTGACAATGAAAGTGGTACATAATCTTTCAAAGCTACACTCTTTTGTAAAGATTGCACTGACAAATCCAGAACATTCTCAACATCCTGTAAAAGTAAAGCATATTTTTTACTATAATAACGAAGCTTATCTTTTTTCTTCTTCTTTCTTTCCTTATCAGGTGGCCACAGAATTATATTTGATCCTAATGGATGCCTTACTTCTTCATAATAACGTGCAATGTGTTGATGATAGAGTGAACTAAAAGCAAGATTATTTCTGTCGTGCTTTGAATCAACGTGAAATGCTCTCTCTGGTGCTAATCCAGTTTCCTCAATGAACACCATCTTTGACATCTGGCTGTATATTGATTCTTTTGTCTCGTAGCTATGAATGATACACAAATACCTTGTCAGTTACATGTACATATATGTAGAACTAACTAAAATTTCTGTCAAATATAAAGCAAAAAAAATCATTAAATTAAGCAGCACTGAAAATCAAAAATAATTTTAGTTTATCTATAGCATCGCCAGGTCTGCTGCTTTTATTATTATTTCTATGCATGAATATATATTCTCCCAAATTAACAACATATACATAAATATTTTTGGTAACCATGAAAACCAAAATGAGCTAATGCAAATCCTTAGTAATGATTAATGTTCTTTTATACATAAATACATGTATGTGTATGTGTGGTGGTTATAGCTTTTATTCCTACATGAGTAGATAAAAAAATAATAACTTATATTTCAAGAACATAAAACTCAAATGAGACATTTAACAATATACAATTATACTTAAGTAGAGATTAGCTGGGTTAAAGTCAATTTATACTTCATATAAATTATGATACGTGTATCTAACTCGCAGAATAAAACGCCTGTTAACCAATTTTGAGTGAAATAAAATTGGGTTTAAAATCTGCATGGTTAAAAAAATAATATTGTGACCTATACTCCAATCTTTTAATTGAAAAATATTAATCACACAATTTAGTTTGAAAGGTATAATAATTAAGTACAAAAACATAAAAATTATAGGCCCTGAAATACTCAAATACTTGCAGAAATATTTACTTAATCGACTAACATATACTTGTTAGAAAGAGATCTTTATGTGTATGTTAATCTTTAATACAGGAAATATCTTTATTTAAAGGTGCTTAAACAAAACACAAACCAGAATAAAAACCAATAAAATATAGCTGGTATTCAAGATTTTAACATAATCAGTTCAAAAATTAGTTAAATTCATGACAGTATCAAAATCAAAACTATCACCAATTCTTACTCCTCATCATCAGAGATGGATGGTTTGAAGGATTTTGATTTGGTTTTGTACTTTTTGTGCTTATGTTTATTTTTCTTTTCTTTTTTCAAAGACTTCTTGGACCTAGCTATCTTTCCTTCCTTTGAGAATTCTTTGCCCTCAGTAGTTATAAAATAATCTTCAGTACCTTCTGGGTTTTCCTTCTCTTCTGTAAGATTTTCTTCACTAAATGAGAATTTATAATATGTACTGAGTGAAAAGATCTACCTTTACAATAAACACACTGAAATGTTATATACAAAAATTACTAACAGTTAACATAAAAAAAAAAATTAAAAAACTTGAACTTGATTGGCATGCCAAAACTAATGCATTAATTACCTGCTTAAATGTATTTTTACCGAAATGAAAAACAATGCTACTAAGGTTAAAATTTGAACTTACCCACTATGAATTATAACAAGAAAAGCTTTATTTAAAATTATTAAGTATATAATAGGAGTACTAGATTCTGTTTAAACAATTAAACTCTTTACAATGTTTTTAAATGTAATATACACACACACACACACATACATACATACACACACACACACACACACATACATGTGTATAAAATACCACATATTTCTGTAAATTATATAAACAAATAAAAATAATGACCTAACAGAAAAAATAATTGTATCTCGGGTACAATAAGGGCCTCTTCAAATTGCCCTGCTATCACCACTAGCATACACATGCATAACTGTTTGTCTAGGCCACCTGTCCCCTACACTAGATCCAACAGGATGCTTTATTTTAATATGGTTTAAGTAATTCCCATACTGCCTCTAACTAAGCTCTGCACAGCACAGCCTACATTTTACTTTTTTGTTACTCTTAGTAACAAAATATATCAAAACAGGGCTTCACTTATTTAATGCTCCTATAGATTATAGCTCGGTCAGTTTTACATCAGTTTATTGTATCTCTATGCAGCAGGACAATATGCTGGCAATGTCTCAAAAAAGTAGTCCAAATTACAAGTGATTAAACTATCATTCCTGACATTAATTCCTATATTTGGATAATCTGAAAATTGTTCTTTTGTGTTTTTTTTCGCTTTGTTACCACACACACACAGATATATATCAAATATTTTCTTTTCTGTCAAAGTCTTATATTCAATTTAGTAGCAACATCTTTTGTTAAGTGTATAATTTATTTGTATTAATAATAATAATTATAGCAGTATAGGGAATTTTTCAAGAGTAAATGGCAGCACGATACATTTTCACAATTTTATGGTTAAGGTGAACCTTGCTATCTGCAGTAATACCACACAACAAAAATAGGAAGTAAACAATGAAAGAACATTTTAATAGCTCTTAATTTCATCATATTTATCTTGCACAATTTTAACATTTAACAGATTAAGCAAAATTTAAAATATTTGACACTTGACTAACGTTATATTTTCTAATCATTAACACACCTAGTACATAATGATTATAACTAGGTAAACTGTCCTATGTATCATTCAAATTATAAGATTAGCATAATAGTTGTAAAGAATACATTTAACATTACTTTTGATACAATAATTGTACCTTTTTCTTTATTCAGAACAAAACTACAATTATTATTCATTGTCACACATTTTTATTTTCCTAAAGTTAAGGATACACAAAGTAACGTACATACATTTATTCAGCTATACTCAGGTGAATTTTTAAACATATTCATGCAAGTATTCTACATTTAACTAACATCCTTGTGAACCTGCAATAATCCTGATATTGAGCTAGGTTTACAAAGGTGTACTAGTGGTCTTTATATAGAGCTTATGCTTGCTTGGCAATTCTTCTATGTTACTGCTCCCTGGGATATGGGGTGATATACCTATGAGGGGTGATATAAAGGTTTGTATAAGCCTGTTGAAGCTGGGGGTTAGCTCTTCTTACATACATATTGATGCAAGTATTCTTCTATTGTGGCATACCCCTATAGAACTTTTATCTTATTTAACAGTATGATATAGCATCAATCCATTCTGTCCTTTGTGGAGTGTAGAAGTCTGATTTCTATGTATTCCAGCAACCAATCAGTTAGTTTAGAAAGTAAGAGGCCAGCCAGTACAACAGAACACGAGCCAAGCAATTAAACACGACATTTATGCAAGAAATAAAAGCTAGTGTTCTTGGCTAACAAATGAACTTGAGTCTTCATTCTTTTGTTACTCACTTTAATTTCCTTAATTTGCTGCAGATCTTGTTGCTTACCTGTGGGGTATCAATGAACCTGAATACCACGACCACAAGATGTACAGTAAAGAAATTTATTTTCCCCATAAATTCCCAGTGCAGAACTAAACTCAACTATATTTTTTGAAATTAAAAAAAAGAATGCTAATATTGTAAAATATATAAAAATACATTTAGTGTACCAATTACAAGTTAGAAAAAATAATTAAATATATTGTAAGATAAAAAATGAACATAGTAAACACAAGTTATATAATCACATCACGCTCAAGATAAGTCATGAAATTTGTTTAAACTTTACATTTGTGCAGGTTTTAATATAATTGCAACAGGTTTTCTGTAACTACTGAAAGAAATCTCCATTTTATGCTGTACACTTGATTGATATGTAATTTTATTTTACTTTGTTAGTTTAAGGAGTATATTTAAGTTTTTTCATTTAAACTAATAACTAATTAGTAAATATTAAGTCACTTACTTCTGAGTTTTTCCTCTATTCTGAGCCTTTTATTGACTATTTTAAACAATGTTAGGTGTCATGTTCAAAAATCTGAAACAATATACTCATGACCTAACTAGTCATTCAGAAATAATTTGTGTTCTCTTCACTAACCATTAAAATGTTTGAAAACTGAGTTTATGCACTATCCAAACTCATTTCTTTTACAGGCTACATGAAACTAAAGAGAGTTTGGTTAGTAAGACTCATGGTTTCAAGCACACACTTTTACAATCAGAATCTTCCCACAGCAAATTATGAAAAATTATGTATAACTTTCCAATAAAGTAGCAGTTAATATTGCAGTAGAAATATTTTTTCATTCTACGTGTCAAATCCGAGCTAAATGTTATGTGTCCTAATTATATATATATTGGATTAAAACTTGACAACAATCAGTAGTGCACCTCTTCATTATCTTTATATTCATTGCAGATGATGCACAGCAAACATATTCATAATACACAACATCACAAGTTTCAACCCATAGTTCAACCCATAGTTCACTTTTGCAAAATCTTCCTTGACCTAAATTTTAACATCCGTAAAGTTTGAAATACTAATCCAGTCATGTATAATGTGTGGAACAATTGATTTTTTGTAAGACTGATTTGTAACTGGTTCACGTGATATTATGTGCACCGAGCTTAATTCCATAAATTAAATATCTTAATTGGTACTGGGGGGGGGGTATTTTATTTTATGGTAGGTTTGCAGTAGGAGCTAAAAAGCAGCACAGCACTGACAATTGTCTACAGAGCAACTGTGGGGAGGCTGTTTGACTTAGGTATTTGTATTCTGGTGTTCCACGGCACAGCATTATAACAACAAAAGGCCATGTGGTCCTTAAAGGCTGTCCTTGTACCTTCACCCCAAGAAAAAAAAAATGCTGATTTGCAGGATTAATAACTTGCCACTCCAATTTTATTTGAGAATATCACACTTCTATATAAATTCATGGTGTCCATGGGGTAATGATGATAATAATAATAATAGTTAAAAAAAAAAGAACTCCTCCAAACTAAACTGTTATTTTCAAGGACCTAATTTACTGATTTTAACAGAGCCTGAATATCACCAAAATTAAATAATCTTTTATTATGTCTTGGAACAATAACAATCAAGTTATTGAAGAAAAAACACTTTTTCAAGCCATAAAAAGAAATAAGTGATTGCACATTACTGAGAAAAAAAAAGCACCAAAGCACTAACAAATTGTTCATTTACAGGTCCCATATGTGCTTCAACTTCAGTTTAATAACAAGTGATAAAACCGAGTCTTTCTCCAAATACTGTGCTTTAGCTGAAAGCTCCTCTATAGTGTAACCAAAAACTAAGCATATATATCTCATCATAATAGTCGATATGATACTTATCTAGATATTGGTGACACGATATGATATGTATCTAGATACAGAAGTTTTACCAATGGCTTATTACAAAGTTAGAGTCTTCTCTGTAATTTATTATCTATATTACTAACATTGTCTTATTTAAGTGCCTTACACTTTACAGTGCTTTTTCAAATTCTCAGGTTTGATCAACTAAATAGCAGCTGGTAAGAGAAGTAAAATAAAGATAATATCTATCTATTTTGTTATTGTTAATTTGTTATGTTACTTTGCATGTAATATTTTTGATAAAAGAAATGAAGACACCATGTAGTACTCAATACTTATCTTCCTATATTAAAACATTAATTTTCAGCTAAAATACTTTATTAGAAATTCTGATTATTTCTGTACAAAAAGACTTGTAATGTTTACTGAAAGCCTGCCAAACTTCATGAAGATACATAAATCGTATCAGACGATATATTGATACAATCGTATCACACCTTGACGATACAATACTTTTATCGTATCGCCACATCTTTACAAAAAAAGATATTTACTGAACATATTATTTAAGCTTGTCAATAGGACAACAAGTCAACTTGTACCTGAATAGCTGTTGAACATAGAACATGGCTTGTCATCATGACAACCAAGCAAAGATTCAAACTCATTGTTACAATGACCAAATTCATATTGTTAAGCACATGTTTTTCCCCACACAATTACATTCCATTACATTTTCTCAGTTTACTGCTGCAATTCCACTTAAAAAGAACTTTTCAAAGAACTGGTAACTTTATGGTGTTCAGTCTTTATGATAACACATACCCTCATTTAAATGATATTTAAAACAATAATTGTTCTGAATTATTTTATTTGGTGTCAAGGATGCTGTAATGCATATCAGTGGTCACAGGTTATGATTATTACGAGTAACAAATTTGAATCAGTTTAAGAACTTCATTCATTTTAGATCTAAAGGAAAAACTAGTAACAGCACAAAGAGCCAAAACAATATTGATAACTTACACCACAATACTGTATTTACTGTCTTGATTGTTTTTAAAATCAGATGAATTTGGGTCAAAATTTCACACTCAATAAATCCCAGATTGATCACTGTTTAAATAACAGGTGATCTAATTATGTGCAAGCTGATGCTGTCTTTAATGGCAAATATTTGATTATTTCACCTAAGGAGGTTAGATTTATGACACTAATTCTATTATATTTTTCCTGTTTAGACTTGCATTTCTCTCTTTTTTTATCTCTTTATTAACAAATTTGAGGCAATAACTCCTTAAGACTGATGCTAAACATACTGTTAATGATTTCTGAAGTTTTTATACTCAGGATGTTATTATTAAAAATCTGAAACTTCTATGTTATTGTTTCAAATCAACAATTATTTTAGATTTTCATGAAACAATTCTTGAGCTTATTTTCTAATAAAAATATCATTCCAACAATAGTCACATTTTGCTTGCAGGCTGAGGTACATAGTTCAAAGCCTGTTACTGACCGTTGTTGCCATGTCAACATATTTTCCATTTTACAAAATCACATTTGTTACAAATTGTTTGTTGCAAAACTGAGAAAACAACATGGTACAGTTTGTCATTAACAAAAACAAGATGTATGATTGATAGCATCAGACTCTAAAAGAACTTTTTCAGGACCTCCTGATTTTCAGTACTGAAAAAGTACATGACATTTCACTATTTTCATGACCTGTGTGTGAACCCCGATACATATAAATCAATCTTTACAATATTATTTTATTCTTACAGTAAGAAATACTGAGAAAGATATAGTATTTGTGATACAAATGAATACAATAAGTACATATTATAACAAGTCTATAATAAGTATTCTACATTTTACCTTTCTTCTTCTACTAATTTTGCTAAATCAGTTGTTGACCTGCCTGGGAAACTTTTATTTTGAAGCCACTCAAACTGATGACTACTACCTGTAAAAGTAATTGAACAGTATATCAACCCAACATATATATGCTTGCTTTAATAATAAAAAATTCATAATCTCAAGTTCGAACTAAAATTACTTTTGAGATTATAACTTCTATAGACTTGTATCCAATATTTCTGTAGATACAACCTAAAATCTCATTTGCCCTACCACTAGCAACAGCATACTGCTTGATGGCTTAAGAGACTGATTAACCATTACACTAAGATCCCTCTCTTTCATAACACTGTTATGGTTATTCTCATCCGAATTATACTTGTAATTCAAATTATGATAACCTATATGTATTACCTTGCATTTACTATAATTAAAACCCATTTGCCATTTTTTGCCCAACTCATTAAATAATCCAAATCCTTTTGTAAATTTGCAGCATCCTCTTCACAGCTAGCAACACCCACAAACTTAATATCATCTGCAAATGTAAGTAATTTATTTGCCATTCCTTCATCCATGTCATTGATGAAAAATCAAAAAGAGCAAACATCCTAAGACTGAGCCCTGAGGTACCTTACTTTTGACATTAATCCAGTTTGACTGAGCTCCATTTACAACCCTCTGCTTTCTTTCATCCAGCCACTTTTCTATCCAATTAACCAACTTATCCCCCACACGTATAGAGATAATTTTTACAAGCCTTTTATGTAACACCTTGTCAAATGCTTTCTGAAGATCCAAATACACTGAATCTACATCCTTACCCTCATCTACATAAGATGAGGAATATCAAAATATTTGTAAGGCAAGATTTTCCCTAGTGAAACAATGTTGACTATACAATGAAATTTTAAACTTTGTTAAATGACTTTGTAAAGCATCTTTTATCAGACTTTCCAAAACTTTTCCCACAACTGACACAAGACTAAAAGGCCTATAATTACTGGGCAATTTTTATACTCTCCATTGAAAGGAGGAATAACATTTGCAAACTTCCAATCCTTTGGCACCTGCTTATTATTCAAGGACTTAAAAACAAAACACAGATCCTTTTCTTTCATAACACTATTAAGTCGATTTTTATTAAGGTAGTAGTTAAAATATTATTAAAATTACCATAACCCATACTCATTACCTTGAATATATAAGTTAAAGTTCCCAGCACAGAGTCCCAAGTGGTACCTTGCATTCAAATCCACACAGTTTGACCAAGCTCCATTCATTTATTACAACTCTCTGCTTCTCTCCTCTAACCAACCCTTAAATTGCTTAATACAATCAAACTTGCAATAGACTACCCATGAAAGAATTTTCTTTACTAGCCTTTTAATTTTATGTGGCAACTCTTCAAAAGCCTTCCAAAAATCCAGGTATACAAAATCCACAACTTACCCTCACCAACATAAATAGTAACATCTTTGAAGGTCAAAAGATTTGCAAAACATTTTTGGCCCATAGTTATACATAACGCAAAACATAATTTACAACACATACACTAAACTTACCAGCTGATTCATTTTTAGCCCTAGGTACATTTCCACAATATGCAGGAAAAAGAGATCCTGCACTTACAGTAGATTCAACTTCGAGCTCAGTTTCACTTTCATCTTCAGTAGCAGAAGAAAATCGTGTATCGACTGTGGTACCTTGTTTACTATTCATTTTTTGTTGATGTTTAACAATAATACATGTAAACATACATAAACCTATGGAGCAGCTTCTTGTATAAACTATTTACTGTTAAGAGATTCAAGTATTAGAACGAATGCTACTACTGGTACTAATACTATTGCTAGTAGTACAACTAGGCCTAGACAGTGCACAAAAGCGCGTCAATCACTGTGCGCGCGCGTTGAAAGAGCAATTAACAATCGCCTCGTGCGCTTTAAAAGAAAAAAGTACAGAAGTGTATGAACCAGTAGCAGTTAAACTTAAAATAGTTAGTGTACTTTTACGAAATTAACCAATTTCCAATGGCTAAATGTTTCGAAGTACGTCACGGTCAAGGTCAAAGTACATACACCGAAACAAGATAAAAATAAAATAAATCCAAAAAGTACATATTTGAATAGTTTTTGTTTGTTGTTAATTATATGCAACCAAGCTTGATATAAACAAAACGTAATCGAAAGCTTTTGTAAGAGACACACAGCGTAAACTTGAGGAAAACACTACAGAAGCCTCAGCACCAGTTTATACACAAATCATTTACTCATTATCAGTAACAAATGTTTACGGAAGTTCTGATGGTGCAATCAGTTTCATAATCCTTTCGTACCAGCAATTGGATTACTGCGATATTCTTTTCTTAAAACGCTTATGGTGATATATCTTAAACAGTTAGAAAAAAATTCTGCACCCCAAAAAGTAACGAAGTACCACTTCACAAGTCAAAAGCCGTTTTTACCCTGAAGAGATCAGGATGCAAAAGTTACGTTCATATATAATATAAAATATATATGAAATTAAATGTAAATTCATGAAGAAAAAAATCCCAGCCACAATACAAACATCCAACACACCGGAGCACAAATCATAAGGTCAGTCATTATGTAATGTGCCCTGGTTTTTAGAGGTACTGGCAGAAGTAAGACCCAAATTGCGTTGGGGGTACACCATCCATCCAGTTTAACCTCAACTTCGCCAGCCTCACATGATTCAGAAAAAATAAATAAAAGTATTGAGTAGGTGTGGGCGCTCTAGCCCACAACATCTCACATTTTTACCACCTTTCGCTATCCGCAGCCAGATGTAGGAAGGTGGTAACTCACAATAAAAAATATAAATAAGCAGCAAGAAATAATAGAACATAATACATCAATGGGGGAGACAGCAAAGCTGTCCTTGAAGTTAGCATTCCAGCCCCCAGTATGATGTTTGGACAGAAATACTAAGATGTTAATAAATTATTATACTAAGCCCAATCAATATTATTAGTATAACTCCCATTCTCCAATCTTTCCATCCTACTAACTCAAGAAATTTACACAGTAGTGGGTTTTATATAGAGAAAGTGATACAACTACCAATACGTTAATTTATGTATATAGATATGAAGAATCCATTTATATATTTAAGTAATTCCAATTATTCCCTACAATAAATTTAAAAAAATAATTTTATTGTGCATATTATAATTTTATTTAAATCATTATTTTGAAATTTGTATAAATATTTTCTCTATTTATTATAAATAATTTAAAATATTTAAATAAGTTTTCTCCTCGAACCCATTAAAAATCAGTTTATGTACTAATATATTAATATTAGATATTAAGAACTGTACATTACTACAAATTCTACAATACCTAAGAAGCTGTGAGTGTATAATACTCTGTATGACGTATATTGGTACATTACTGTTTGGAGAGGGAAGTCCAAAAATTTCAAATGTAAAATTATTTCTTCTATCATAAGTATTATTATTACAATAATTATTAATTATCTTAATGTTTAAATCTAAATAACGTACTTCAGTGTTAGATGTGTTCTCAATCTGTAGAACTGTAGGATAAATGTTGCCTAGGTAATTACTTATTTCTGTATTATTGATACTAATCAAATCATCAGTATATCTGTATGTTAAAGAAAATAATTCCAGATTTGAAAAAATATTTATGAATTTATTTTCTTAGTAATGAATATATAAGTTGGCAACACAGCGCGAATACTTAGCACCCATCCATATAGCTATTACTTGTTTATAAACCTAACTATTAAAAACAAATATAATCATTATATACGCAACAGGAAGAAGTATTTCGAATAAAAGAATAAATCCAATTTGGACAAAACTATTTTTCAATTATTTCCATTCTATATGTTTTCTAACTTTTTTTTATTGGTATAGGAATTTTCAAAATTTCTCGTTTAGTTGAATCCTGTACAGTTGACTGATCCAGAAAACAATAAGGTTGTTTTCGTTATAGTTATATTTGTTCCTTTATTTGTATGATATTCTCAGGTGGATTATTTTCTCATAAGTACGTCCGCTCAATAATGGCAGGATTGGATAAGGAGTTTTAGTGTAATCTGAAATTGAGAACTCGATTGAGTTTTAAGTTGAATAAGAAATAAACAGACTGGACATGTGTGATTTTAAGCGAAAACAATCTTTGTTTACGACAAACACATACATACAGCATGTGTACTTTTGTAGACATTTGGACGATCACCTCTACTGAATCAATGCATGAGTTGGTAACTTTCTCTCAAAAGAAATAGAGCCCCGTACTGATACAGCAGGACCGTAGGAAGCTTTTTTGTGATAGTCTGGCTTGAATACCTTACAGAAACTACATGCCCCCCCCCCATAACATTTTTGAAAAATAATTCCACTAAGGTTGAATTTGGTTGGATATCTCAACAAATTCTATCATGCTTTTTGAGTCAAATTCCTAATGGAGATTTCCAACTCACAATAACAGCACTCAAAATGTCAGTTGCATTATAAAGCTATATACATAGTTATTTAATTAACAAGAGCATAAATAATATCTACGCACACAGTGGATAAGTTAAAACTATATGTAGTCTACAAATAAAAAATTACATAGGGTCTGACCAACAAAACTTACCAAATATACTAAGCCTCTTTTCACTGTTAACAAAAGAATCTGATACTTCTATTTAATCTAAAGCCTCGGCTAATGCCTTGTGCACATGGAGAACTATCAAATAACTCAGTCATTTCTGTATCATGTTAAATGGTACTATGGATTTAGTATTTAAATATATGCCGATATATTAGTCAATTTACAATATTTGCCAACAAGATTGATACACACCGTTTTCGTTTAACACAAATACGTTTTAATATACACACAACAGTACAATTTACAATAACAATTATTACAAATAGTTACTACAAACAATGATTTATAAACAGAAGTTTCACAAACTTACAAACAATATAAAGTTTTCTTTCTAGTCTGGAACCTCCCTGATATCTTGCCCGGCATGGCCAGGTGGATAAGGCGCTCGACTCGCAATCAGAGGGTCGCGGGTTCGAATCCCCGTCCCCCCAAACATGCTCGCCCTTTCAGCCGTAGGGGCGTTATAATGTGACGGTCAATCCCACTATTCGTTAGTAAAAAAGTAGCCCAAGAATTGGCGGTGGGTGGTGATGACTAGCTGCCTTCCTTCTAGTCTTACACTGCTAAATTACGGACGGCTAGCCCTCGTGTAGCTTTGGGCGAAATTCAAAAACAAACAAACAAACCCTGATATCTTATCGAGAATTTACGATGAGCGAGTTAATTACGAGTTGATGTAGAGACGATCAGCTGGGAAGCTAGCTAGCTTTGCCCTTGGCCACACACACTAAGTTTTCCACGGTGAATTTATATATCTTCGTAAAATTACTAATGTTCGTTGAGAATCCACTGAAGTTAAATGATTTGTAACGTTCAAAATTTACAAATATTCCTGGTCAGATATCTTAAGTTTTCCGATTGATAAACGTTATAACAATCACAGTTATAGCTTTCGAAGTTTTATAGCACACAGATATATAGCGAGCGAACTAATAATAGGTACTCTCCCCTTAGCGCGTCGCGTTGGTTATGATTATAGCTGTGGGAAGGTTTTCTAGAAAATTCAGTCTTACGTAACAATACTGGTTAATTCGTTTACGTATATAGATATAGTGTTGATTCTTACTCTCGAGAATTTTCTACAACTTTGGAGAATAGGCGGGAGTTTCGCAATACCTATCTAACAGTATAAGCTATGTATGTTTCTAAATATAAACTTAATCTAAACAACGTTCATATTAAAATAAATACATAACAACAAATTCTTTACAAAATAAAATTAATTTTAGCAATGTTACAGCTTCTGAGTAATGAACTTTTTCCGCAAATGACAGGTTTGTAAGATATCCTTAACATCACTAAACAAAACACCATCACGTTTGTCTTTGAAATTTGCTGAAAACACTTCTAGCTGTCCTTTTAGCTTATAGGAATCAAAGTCTGATTTATAAATGTCCATGATAAGATGATGGAAATTCTCCTTCTCCAATTCCTTCTTCATGGCGTTTAGGTATTTTCCTATGCCTTGGCAAAACTGGAACTCCTACATTGTGTTTTGAAGCCAAGGTTGAAACCAGTTTCCCAAAAGGTGAAAAGAATAATCATTTCTCATCAACTTTAATGTCTTTTAGACTGAGCTTCAGCTGCAGAAAAGTTCTTATGTTGCATGGTTCTTGAGAGATTATTTGCATGCTTTAGGATCTTTTCACCAAGGACAACACCAAAAAAATAATTGGAACTCTTCATCTGTGTCTAGACACAAATTATTCTGGATCTTATTTCTGACTGCAAATGTGTTTCAAAATTGGCACTCCATATTTCTTGTAATACAGAATAATTAGTAATAACAGTTTGCAGACTTTCACCAAGAATAACACCAAAAAATAATTGAAACTCTTCATCTGTGTCTAGACACTAATTATTCTGTATTACAAGAAGTATGGAATGCCAATTTTGAAACACATTTGCAGTCAGAAATCAGATCTAGAATAATTGGTGTCTAGACACAGATGAAGAGTTTCAATGCAGACTTTCACCTAGTACTGTCCATTGTGTTGGGCAAAGAATTCTGAACTCGGGGCAATCTGGGTCTAGATCTTTTTTCGATGTCTTCAAAAATTCCTTCTCTCTTTGGGAATTTTTTATTAACTTTGAATTTTCAAACGTTGCGTCAAAGGCATTGGGCGTTAATTTGCATTCTTTTCCATTAAAATATTTACATACATAGACTGAAGGAAAAATTAATAACTAAACAAAAATAATTTAAAATACATATTTACACAGTTTTCATTGGGAAGTGATACTGAGCTCCCTGGTGGCATAGCTTCTGTACATGCACTTGCCACAGCAGTTCTGATTTCGACAGTTTTTGAGCCTGACCTTCAGCTTCAATGACAACATGGCAGGTAGACTGAGTATAAGTTGAGCTGTCTTGACCAATGTTTTCAGCAAAGCTGGTATCTCATTACCATGACCTTCAGTCATGCCTATGGTCAAGGGCAGCCACAGAAAAAATTATGAAATCGAAATAGTTTTCTTCTATGAAAGACTGGAAGTCGCCATTTTTCTGGCACAGGCTGAATAAATATAAAACTATGATTCGATTAAAATATCTTCTAAATTATAAAGAAATATAAAGAATTTAGATACTAATCATACTATTGTTAATATGCCTG